TGAATAGTGTGCTCCCACGCATGCATATATGATCATGCACACACCTCTGTGACTCATGCTCTCTGATGTACCTCTGTATGTAGGAGTTATTGACTCCTCTGTGGTCCAGGTCGTGGCAGAGTGTTGCAATCATTAGAGCCAGCACCTCCAAATCACTCATATAGCTCTGTTAGGAGATGAATAAGTACATTAAGGCAAGGAAGGAAGGTGGGAAAAATGGCAACAGATGACATACTGCCTCCACAACCAAACCAAAAAATACAGTTGTGTACACAATGCTGTTATAATACACTTTTGGCAGTGTGTGTGCTCAGCATGCACCCTGGAGTGGACATCAAAGCTGGTTCTGCATATGACACAAAAGCTTTTATGCAGCCAGCTGCCAATTTTGCACACAAAAATCACTAGTTTTTATAATGTGAATTATTCCCGAATCAAAAATTATTTGATACATGTTACATGTTTCCCGAATAATTTTTGTTCTTGGCAGTGTGCTGGGGTCCTTCAAATCTGTCTGATCACCCATAATAGGGTAAATCATATATAATTCAGTCTATTAATTGGAAATCATGTAAAAATAACAATCTTTTTTAAACTATTATGACACTAGCACTTGCTAGTGTCATCAAATCATGACACTAGCAAGTGCATTTTTTTTGCTTTTTTTGTTGTTCAAGGTTGTATTGTTGTGAGATAACTTAGACGTTTCAGCAAGTAACTGCTGATTCATAACTACATTAGGGATAAATGTGGTAGAGTAGTAGGTGTGCAAACGGGTGGGTATTCTGGAGTCCTTGCCAAGGATTCTTAATTGGAATTTAGGCTCTTTTTAAGAGAGCTGGTTTTTATGTCTCACCTCACCTCAAAAAGAGCCAAAAAACGCACAAATAACTGAAAAAAGGTGAATGAGGGGTGTTAGCATTTTACTTCATTTTAAGTTTTAGACTTTTGTTTTGGACTTTGATTTCATATTAAGTTTGGTGAGGTTTGATTTGAATTTGTCAGGCAACGACTACCGGTACTGTTTACATTTTAGCACCAGAAGCACTTAATGCATGGTCAGAAAAAAGAATGGTTTGGGTTAAAAACAACCATTTACGGCTTTATTAACTATCTGAAACAGCAAAGTTCTTGCATCTGCTAAAATATTCTCTATCATTTTTCTTTACCTCAGTACAAGTTCTGTACAAGGGGACATTTGACTAGTGTCACATTGCATTACTACACATTAAAAAATTATTTTAAAAAGGTACACTTTGCTTTCAAATGTAGTAGCAAGTGGCTCTGACAAACTGTATAAACCATGTTGGATTACTTAGAAAAAAAGTGGTTGCCCTTTGCAGCAAGATTACTGTTACTGTTACTATGAGATGCCTTGGAAAATCCTCGGTATGTTACGTGTTGGGAATGAGAATGCTCTGGGAATCAATGACTATATTTTTTGACTGCACTTACCTGTAAGTGCCCTGACTTGAGGACAACAAACATGCACTGGGCTGTGTTGAAGGCATGTCTCCAGTTATGATAGGCCACATTCTTCCTGTAGTTCTTCTTAACACTCATAATCCACTGACATAAACTCTGCAGAAGAGAGCCAAAATGTTGCAAAGTAAAAGCATATACAAAATTTAATTTGGTTTTGTTCTTTGCATCGCCTGATTGTAGAGACAATCATTCTAAATTGACTGCTATTTGTATGCACAATACTACCCTGCTTCTATCTGTCTGAAAGTAAGTTTCCTACAACAAGGGACACATTTCTAAGGGGTGAAAAAGGCTAAGGCCACAGCAACAGCAACCAGGGATAATTTTTAAATTTGTGTCCACTGAGATACAAACTGTGACACAGGTTAAAATAAAAAGGGTTGACATTTATGTCCATGTTATGTCAATAAGATCTTACTACAGTCAGTGTGGTTTTAATGTGCTGAGCACTTAGAAGATGACTGACACAGACAGCCATCATGTCTTTACGAACTAATACTAGTACAAACTAATTTAAGTTAAGAAAATAATAATGAATTATAAATTAAGAGTAAATATTCTCTACAGAATTTATGCTAGAGGAACAATGTTTTTTCAAGAACACAACACGTAAGATAAGATAAGATAACTCTTTATTGTCATTGCACAGTCATACATAGTACAGTAGTACAATGAAATTGGAAAACTGTCCTACGTCGGCACTACATATAACACAACACGACACGATATGACACATCACAACGCAACAAACAACACAACACAGTATATTAACTTAGTATAAAAAAGAAGAATAAGTGTATGTGTATTGCACACTGTTATTATTGCACCTTGTTATAAATATTAAATATTATTATTGTTATTACAATGGGACCAAAATGAAAATGAAAAACAAACTAAAGCAGTACATTGTAAGTGGGGTACAATTTTAGCAATTGAAAGTAAAGGCAAATGTGACAAGCACAGGGTCATTTTCTTTGCCATTTCCGAAAGTGAACACTTAGCAGTAACAAAGCAGAGAGCCCTGATGTGCTGGCAGGGTGCTAAGCTGCACGCTCGTCATGACCACACTGTGAATAAAACTAATTCCAATCTGAGGCACCACGAGAATCCAAATTATTATTCATCTAATCAAATCGGGGCTCATTTTCTCTATAGGAAACATTATAATTTGATCTCAGACTTGAATGAGTGTCTGTATAACATGTTAGGATTGCAATCAAATCATGACTTGGTGTGCAGTTCAGTTTCCAGGGTGTGATGCTCTGGGATGGCCAGTTTGTCAGCTATTGGTGTGAAAGTTAAACTGACAGCCTGCACTGCTGGAGGGCCATAACTTCCTCCAGTCAAAGTTTCTTTTTGTGAGGCCTCTCCCCGCAGGCACCCAGGGGTCAGCCACCAAGAGCACCTAAAGGTGGAGAGCCAATCCTGCCAATGATCTGCTGATGCCGGCGTCAATTAAAAGTCAGATGAGCAGAGAATTGGGCTTAACAGACAGCGATGACAGAGTCACCGACACAGTCTCGTGTCGGTGACTTTTGGAGGGGTATTGTTTTATGTGCATGATACTGTTGTGTGATACTGTTGTGTGATGATACTTCTTCAGCTGTAAATGCATTTATTTGTCCTCCGACACATTTGCTCATAATGTAATGGTTTAATGTTGCTGACAAAAAGGAGGTTGTTTTTTTTGCAACAGTTCATAATATACACTGAAGATATCGGTTGTTTCTGTGCTGCCCTTTTAAAGTCAAACCTTCTACTCTGAGTAAAATATCTGTTGTTGCACAATAAGAGCTACTTTAAGGCTAGTTCTCTTAAGATTATGAATGGTTTGGCTTGCAGTGCATGTACAGTAGCTGAGCCTTTAAAAAAAAACAAAAAAAACCCCAAAACGCTTTAGCTCTATTTAAATCGTAGGTCAAGTTGAATGAGCACCAAGTCACCTCCTGTACAAGCTGTATGCCCGTATTGAGCAAGACTCACTGATCCACCTCTGATGGGGAATGCCTAGCTGAAGCCCTGGTCCACAAGAGCTTCAACTCTCACCTCTGTTAGAGCTTCGGCAACATTCTGAGGGAGACTGGGGACACTGAGTCCGAATGGAGCATGTTGAGCGCCTCCATTGCATGATGTTGTAGGGCTGTCTTGGTTAACATGCCTTTGCAATGTCTTGAGGAGATCTGGGGCGGTACCTCTGGATTGGCAGAGTGAGGTGGTGGTTTCCATGTTCAAGAAGGGGGACCAGAGGGTGTGCTCCAAATATAGCGGGATCACACTCCTCAGCCTCCGCAGGAAAGTCTATGCCAGGATGCTGGAAGGGAGAGTCCGTCAGTTCGTCAAACCTCGGATACAGGAGGAACAATGCGGTTTTCATCCCGGTCGTGGAACACTAGACCAACTCTGTTTTTATTCTGTTCCACGTCCTGTCACTCTCTGTCTTAAGCTGCCTGAGGCATTTTGTAGCAGCTCAACTCAGGGTGTCATCTTTCTGATTTATTTGTGCATGATCAGTGTTTCATCCTGAATTGTAGCTTGAACATCTTCCGTTGCTTGTTGCTTGAAGACTACCATGCACTGTGGGGAATTCTTGTGGGTTGACATAGTAATAACCTCCTTTTGGCAGCTTATTATTGCAGGGTACCTGATGACTGGTAGGATGTATGTACTGATGGCTCAGATGCTTATTCCGAACACTCAACTGGCTTCTCAGCACCTGTCTTACCTTATTTGGCTGTGGCTTAACTTAGTGCATATTCATCATGGTTCCTGTTGGCCTGTGGGATACCCAGGTTGTTGAAGCTGTCCTCTACATCTGCTATTCTCCCTTCTGAGAACTTCATCCCTTCAATCCGGATCCCCTTTCTTCTTTTTGCAAACATTTGGCTGGTGAGGTGAATCAGTAAGTCTTACTGGCATAGAGCTTGTACAGGAGGTAACTAGTGGTCACTCAGCTTGACCTAAATCAGTACTGAATCTATATCTGTATTCATTCTTAGTGATGAGCTGGCTTAGGTGGTTGAGGCCTATGCAGAAGAGCAGTGGGAACAGAGCATCACCTCTGAAACAAAGGCCTGAGTGGTATTTTTAAAGCAAGTTTGCAGTTCTCATGGATTTTAATGGAGCACATGTTAAGTCTAACCTGTTTGTGTAAAATCCCAGGTCAGTTCTTACCGTGTACTTCATCTGAAAGTTTTGGACCAGGTTGAGGTCAACAAACATCCGCACAGTAGCCAGCGTGGTTTCACTATCTGACAAGTCAAAGTCACTGAAGCTGAAGTCCAGAAGATGGAGCGACTGGGCTGATGGAATGGTTGCTAACTTCAAACACACACAGAATATACACATGCAAACAGCAGGAAAAACAACAGCAGAAATTCTGCATTATATAGTTGAACTAAAGACTAATGATTAAATATTAATCAGATTCAAATCTCAATTCTTAATTCTGTTGCTGTTACAGAAGCAACTTTAATTTAAAATGCAGTTATGAGGTGTGCAATGTGCCAAATATACAGTATGTAGCTACCTCTTGAGTAGAGACTACCAAAATAATCAATTCTGTGTCCTAGTTACCAAGTGACACATCCTCTCTCTTGTGCCCAAGGGAGGACACTTAATCAGGCTATGCTATTAGTTCAGCCAGTTTGCTATAAGGAGAGGGGAAGAGAGCAGGATCCTTTCAGATGGTCAAGCAGTGCCACTGTTAGTGCTGGTGGGGAAGATGGGCTGCTCTAATTGGTTCATATTTTAAGAGGTACCTTGAAGTCAATGAGCCAGTTAGATGCTACAAATGAGCTACTCAAAATCACTTGGAATATCCTTTATTCTTTTTTTGGTTGATTTGTGGGGTTCATTCATACACGATTTGCTCAAAAATATTTAAATTAGACACAAAATACTAATAGTAGAAAGAATCATATTAATGATCCAACCCCAATGAAGAGAAGTATATATTATCACCAGATATATTACCACCAACATTATCAAATTAAGTGCTAATGTCCCCATAAACAAGACACATGGATTCAAAACTCCATCCGTCCGTCAATTCATTCTCCTCCATGTGTTCCAGGGGGATACTGTGGCTAGGGAGCGTCATTTACCTGACAGGAAACACGGCGCCTAAGCTCAACGCTCAAAAGTTTGATTATACTTTACGAGAACGGATGACAACAGGGCAACTTGCAATACTTGCAAAGTAAATATTTCATTTAAGGGAGGAAACACTACGAATATGCAAAACCATTTGCTCACAAAGCACGCGATAACCTTAAATGAATGCTGTGTTTTTAATTCCGCTCCGGGCTTGTGAATCTCAACCCAGCAGGAACGTTTGCGCGTCCTCTCCCATTAATGTGGCAGATAAATAATCAACTAACAGTGCATATTATGTTAGTGAGATCTGCCTTATTACAAAACCTGCCATTACTGTGCATTTAGGTGACCATGATGAGAGAGACAGACAGAGTCTGGCTCAGATGCTGGCAGTTGTCGCTGCAGTCTACCGGTAGCGTCTCCTTTCAGGCCAGGATAGACGAATGTCACCGAGCAGTGACTAAGTTTGTGGTCAAAGGCTTGCACCCATTTGCCACAGCAGATGATTTTCGGTAAGTGAATGTGTTTAATTGTAGGCAGGGACATTACTGGATATTCTTGTGTAATTGCTACGAATAATTTATGTTATACTTTGTTATTGCTACAGAAGAATATTTATTTTATTATTTTACATTTACAATTTTTTTTCCTGGGGACCCTGTGACACCCCATTGAAGAGCCGTAGGCTGGATCTCTTAAGATCTCACTGTTGGGTTTGTAAGGCCATGTTACTCCTAAATTTCTATCTTGTTCAAAGAGAAGATATAAAACAAAGTTCTAAGCTAATCGACCTTAGTGTTCTCCTTTTTTAAAAAGAATCAATAAGAGAATCGATAAAGAATCGAATCGTTAAACAGAATCGAAAATGGAATCGGAATTGTGAAAATCTTATCAATATCCATCCCTAACTGTGGCATTACAAATCCCACTGATAGATAGATAATCTATCCAGCATATCCTTAGCATATCCAAAACATGTCACCTAAGAGGAATCCAGGATATGCCAGAACCATCAAAAGTGGCTGTTTTTGATGTGGAAGAGTAGCCACTCTACTTTAAGCCTCTCCCAAATGACTGAGTATCTCAGCTTATCTCTGAGATACTCAGTCATGGATGGCTGTAGCTCAGGTGGTAGAGCAGATCACCTACTAACTGGAAGGCTGGTGGTTTGATCCCCGTCTGCTTCAGTCTACATGCCAAATATCTTTGGGCCCATGTAGTTCCCATACTTTCTTACTGATTCAGCCAAAGATGTTATTTCTACACGAAGCCTTCTTTCTCTTAACAACATCACCTGCCTGTGTTTCTCTCTTTCCATGCTAAGTGTATAATGTTAAATTAATGCATTTCAATTTACTTCAGCTACCTGGAGTTCCCGTGATTCTTCATCTGCAGCAGAGGCATGATACGACAAGACCTGCAACACATGTATTTAAAAAAAGATGAGTTTTGCAGAAATAAAAGATATGATTATTGCACAAGTATCGGATTTTCTGTAGAAAGCACACTTGCACTGTCTATATTGCTGTTCTCTGAGAACAGTCTGTAGTCTGCTTTGTGGCAGCACTCAGTTTGCAATTATTTCACCAAATACAAATATGTCTGACTGACTGGACATTCTGCATGACCTTTCTTTTATTTAGCAGGCACAGTGCATGTTAATAGACATCAGTATAAAAGACAAGATGTAACATGTAAACATGCCATGTTCAGAGACTTTTGGAAATCATAAAGAAAAAAAAGTGGGCTCTGATACTTGCAGGCTGTCAAAATGAAACGGACAGCTCAACAGGCTTTTGACAGGCTATAAAAAAGAAAAGTGGCACTACTCATCAACCAGATGTCAGTCAAATCCAAAATAAAAAAGAATCCTTTATGAAGAGGAGTGCACTGTCAAAACAGCAACTAAATCTTGTGTTTACTATTTTTAGTTACCAGCAGATGAAAATACAATCAGTGTTTTGTGCAGTGCTTGTCGGTCGGGTGGACCTTCTCCCTTCTGAGTGTAGGAAGCTCCTTCCAAGTCCAACAGCAGTTGGACCAGGTGATTGGTATAAAGCAATCGATCTAACAGATACTTCCTTTCAAGTGGCCATAGATCCAGACCGCAAACACTTGCTGATATGTGCATATGCATTCAACAGCATAATCCTTCAAATTCCTGGTGCTGCTGCCTGGTGAAGTTATCTTTTTGCTCCCTACATCATTACGAAGATAGCATTAATTCCTCACTGAGAGAGGAGCACCTTAGCCTTTCTGCATGATAGGACTCATAGCAGCTTCAGTAAGTACGCCTTTCCCTGTTAAAGCTGTATCACTCTCTGCTGTGTGCATTTCCCCCAGTGTAAATGATACCACCAATTCAAAGGAGAGTGTGTCAGCGGAGCTGTTTTCTGATTCTAAAGGCTTGTCAGTGGCCATGATATGCAGAGATAATCAGTCTCTACAGGGACCTCCTCTCTCAGGTGGGAAGAGGGATGATCCACTCAGAACTGTGGTGGCTGTTTACCATTTGAGAGGTGAAATTTATAAGGGTCAGCCCCCAAGTGTGGGGGCAACGACAACTCATTTCTCTCCTTTAGGGGACAGAAATCATAGTCATAACATTTCATTTTGCTGTGTGTTTCTTGCACTTGATGCATGCATGTTGTCTTGTTAATTTTGGATCCATACACATTACAGCTCTTCTTTTTGTTGATACTGGATCTAGGACCCTAAAGAAGATCAGAGAACATCTTCTGATACGTGTCATTGTCTTGTGTCTTCGACCCAGTTTTTAAGGTTGTTCTGGACTCTTTATTCATTCTTTTAAATGTATTAAATGTTTATATTCAAATTTTGTATTAGGTTTGAGTTCTGTATTTCACTAGTGTTCCAAGTTTGTTATTTTAAACTCTTGGTTCTTGTTTTATCTTTTTTCCCATTCGTTTCCAATCTATCTCTGTCTCATCTCAGTATCCTGTCATCAGTGTCCCTGTGTTTGTTTACTTCCTTTCTCCCCAGTCATGTCCCTGTTTCTACCTGGTCTCTCTGTGTTCTGTCTCTGTGAATACCTTTGTAGTCCTGGCCCTGTGTTTTCTCCCTTCCTGTTCTCATGTTCATCTCTTTGTGTTTCGTCCCTTTGTCTCCCCAGTTTGTAAACGTCTCTGTGTATGTTCCCAGTCCCAGTGTCAACGTCACGTCTTAGTCTTGAGTGTGTGTTAGTGTTACTTCCTGTCTTCTTTTGAGTCTCGTGTCTTGTGCATGTGATGTTCTGTTTTGCTTCCCCTGTCTTGTTAGTTATGATTCTTTTAAGCTGTGTTCTCCAGGTGTGTCCGCTTTCCTTAATCACCCTCCTGTGTGTATATTGTTTGCATCTCCCTCTGTTCATCATCACATTCTCCCTCATTGTGTGTGTGAATTCAGTTTATTTGTCAATTCAGCTTGTTGTTGGTCTGTAGTCAGTCAGCTAGATCCTTTAGCTTTTTTCCCCATTGCCTTTTGTGCCAGCAATAAAGCTGTGGTTTCTAGTTTTATCTGCCGCTCGCTACATGACAATACAGGTGAATTTCTCAGAGCTCATCAGCTTTTAATTAGACATGTTTTTTTTGTAATATTTCAGTATCATGTGGCTTTAATTGGAGCAAATTCATTGACTGCTGTTTTATTACAGAAGCCATGTAGACGCGTTGTTCCTTCTTTTGCCCGTAAACATAACATGCACTGGCTGTCACTGTTATAACTGATACAAATTTACAAATAAAGATCTTTCACTGTAGCTTCTTAGCTCAGAATGGAAGTGCATTTATATGAAAATGTCATTGTCTCACATATACTATCACATATTCACATATGTGAAAACACAATGGCATTCTCCTAAAAATAAGAAGAGGTCCTTTGTTTTGTTCAAGCTTAAAAACATAAAATAGTGTGATTAATGGCTCAGTGAGAACATGATGAAGGACATGGAACAGGGTTATCCATTTTGTTCCTACTCATGCCCTGCAGCAAACATTGCAAAACTTATTATTTCTCCCTGCCTGTAATCCAGTGGCTGCCTTTCATATGCTTTCAGAACTGTCCACATAAATGTGTTGTTGTGTCATCAAAGCCTCCCCACTGTGACAGTGATCTCCTTTAGAATCAAAAGTGTGTCTGATGTCACGTGATTGCTGACACTGGAACTTGGACAAAAATGTTTGTTCTATTAGAAGTGCTCATTGATCCTCTCTATGTGGAAGAGATATTAAATATTAAATCATGTCTTTGAAGTCCAGAAAACATGCTGTGATTGCTTGTGTTTTAGGACAGAGCCGACAGTTAAATGTCACAAAAGATTAATCTGCTCACCTCCTCATCAACACAGCTCACTGCTGTGCCATCTACAGCAACTGACTGGCGTCCTGACTCAGAGTCCAAATGACCAGTGTTCTTTTTGGATTTGTTGACAATTTTGACTAATTTGAAATGATTTCATCTCCTGTTTGTTGCATTTAAAATGTAATATTTTTCAACATTTTAAGGCTACAGCTGTCTAATACTTGTGTGGTTTTAACTGATGTTTACAGTTCAAAGTTCACTGGTAACTAACTGTCATCACCAGCCAATCAGCTGCTGAGTCAAATACCGACATCTGAAAAATGATCCACATTACATCGTGTGATTTTGGGCATAAAGAAGAAGATCTGATTGCAGTCTTTAGATGCAGAACAAATTAAGATAATTCTAGTGCTCCAAAAAAAGTGGAATGTAAGAGATTTCAGATGCAGTTTCTGTGATTCTGCAGTGAACTAAGGGGCTGACAGCCATCGATAAATGCAGTTCACCAAAATTAACATCAGCTTAGATACTTGTGTCTCCAACAGAGAGATGAGAAGATACCTCAGGGTTTCACTTCACTAAAAAAATGAAGGGAATGGTTGTCATTCCTTTTGATAGCAAGATGAAATTCAGTTTTTTCAAACAAATTATCTTTACTCATCTAGAGAATGTAGTGTGAAAGACTTTGTTTCCCTTGAAAAGTATTCATGTGAATTAAAGTTCTACAAAGATTCATTTTAGTGAAAATGGGGCTTAAAATTCCTTTTTTTTCGTTCCTTTATTTTTTTTGTAACGTCCTTTCAAACCACTAGTTGAAACAATGGCCTTGCAAATGCAAATGCACAGGCTGCTAACAATAAGAAAATCTACAATATCCTTCTAAGAGTTGGAAAGGAGGAGAAACAGACTTGTACAATATGTGTGTTTATGCTAGGGCTGCCACGATGAGTCGACTAGTCAAAATCGTCGATGACTAATTTAATAGTCGGCGCGTGGTTTGAAGCTTTCTAAGATCCCAAAAGTTGCAGGAATAAGTAGAAGGATTTAAGAGTGTAATAACGGACTGAAACAGAAGATGGCAACACTGCATGTACAAGGATGCCAGCTGCCGTTAAACCCCGAAGAAGAAGAAGCAGTGTCCGGTATCGTAGCTGTGTCCAAATTAAGGAACCGCATCCTCCTGTGCCCGCATTTGTAGGGCGTTTACGTTACAACGACACGACGAAGACTGTCCACATTCGAAGACTCCGACAAATGCGGCCGACAAATGCGCCCTTCATTTCCCCAGATCTGAAGGATGGGTCGGGTATATACTTCGTGGCCCATCCTTCATAGCGCAGTCCTGCTCAGTTTCCAACAATGGCGGCAGCTCCTTAGTTTTAATATTACTCTTATTATTCTTTCAGGCAAGAATGTAGCTGTGTAAACTTCAAATATCTGCTCAGTTTATCAAGACACCACATATTTTCAAAAGCGCTCCAACGTTTTCGGAGACGTCTGTTACCCACCAGCTTGATGCTAGCTGGGGTTCAAGGCTCACTAGAGCCGGTGAGAACACTGGACTCCCGGGAAATTGTTTTCAAACCCACCGCCGTTTTTCACTACTCAGGTTAAACATGATATTTAATACACTTAGATAACTTAGAAATGTTATTGTTTGGCTTTTTTCAGTAATTTATTTGTTCCTGAGTAAATCGGTTTGGCTGAGATTAAAGTTATTACATTAAGTTTTCACACAGCTGAATAAACGTCAAGCAGACAACTGATTATCAGAAGTGTGAGATGCTCGAGAATATACTCCGGTGTCCTGTTATATGTTAGATAGCAAGGAGCAGACGGCTGAGTTTATTAAACTCCACCGAAACAATCTGCAAATTTCATTAAAATTTAATAAACGATCATCTTGTCTTTATTTTTAGTTAGCACCTTAAACACTTAAAGCTGTAAGCTAATGATAGTTATATAAGAGCAGATGCTGCTGGTGCAACAAGCTGTACATTTTACGTCCAATGGATACATGATCTGATTAGTCGACTAATCACAAAAATAAACTATCAAAACAGTTTATGCTTGACTCACCTCCAGAGTGACCTCTTGCTTGGCCATAGCTCTCTCTACAGTTTCATACATCTGTGTGTTTTGGATGCCGAGACCACAGAAAATGGCAAACGCCTCCAGGAACTGGTCATCATTTCTGTTGAATGCCTTGACGCTGCCTGACACTTCATCTATTTTGTTCACCAACTGACAAACACCTACATGCAAACACAAAGACATTACTGTTTATATTTGGTAATGTCTAGTATAGAACACTTCACTTTAAATAGGCCCTAATATAAAGGTTAGTTCAGCAAACCTTCAGGTAAGATTATGAGCTTTAGAATAACAACAATTTTATCTTGTCATTGGATCAGTTCATTCTTCCAGAATTGGAGTCAATGAACAACGTCAAACAAAATCTGTAAATACCTAACATCTGACTCAGGGTCATGAGTTTGCCCATAGTTATCCCATGTCATGATGGTTTGTACCAACTAACAAACAACTAGCTAATAATTTAGGTAAGAACGATCTTGAGAAAAACTTGCTGAGAAAAAAACCCTCTCTGATCAGAATTTCTTAGGGATTGCTTCCATATTAATGCAGGATCTGTACTGTCCAAATCGTATTATCATTCTGTGTTATGTAATTAATAAAAAACAAACAAGCATGTTTTAAAATGGAAACCATAGTACCAGGAGATTGTCCCTGCAAGCACAAAACACAAGCACTTCTACAATGCTACCAGTTAGTCAGTTATTTCAAAGCTTTCAATTTAACTTTATGCTTTCATTTGTTTTGAGTAGGATAATGGTCAAAGTCTACACTAATTGTAAGGCCATTAGTATTCTCCTTGCATGCATGCAACTGACTCAGGGTGCAACTCATAAAATCTAAGGTTAGCTAATGCTATAGCTTCACAAAACAGAAATAATTTATATTACTTTTAAAGAAAAACAAAACTAAGGTATTAATTGAAGACAGTGATAAGCCACTTTGTCTACAGTACATGCTGTAATGCAAAAATCTTTTCCTGATTACATTATCAAAAAAATATATACAATTATTATTCCCTTTTATGTATCTGGACATGGGACACAATATTACTTTCTAACTGCTAATGCTAACATTGTATTCGGGCAACAAAGCAAAGCTTACCAATGACTTTGTCCTTCTTGCCATTCCTGATGGGAGTGCAGAGCAAACTCTTTATCTGATTGCTGGAGTGAGCTGGGTTTTCACTCTGTGAGAAAAAGATGGATAATTACTCACTTTGGGAAAAGGAAAAAAAGAGAGAAAAAAGAAAAGAAAAGTGTACAGACCGTCCAAGGAAAGCGCTGGTCCTTGGTGACATCGGCAATGTTCAGAGGCTGCATGGTGTTTTTAACATACTGGGCGTACATATAGTTAATCTGGCTGTTATCGTGGCCCCTGAGAAGAAACACACAAAGAGAAAGAGCTTCACAACTAAGCATTTAGTATCAAGCTCACTTGGAATAATCCATTGAACCCTTGTGGACACTATGATACCATAGAAGGGCTATCCTCAAAACCAAACATAAAACACAAAAGAGAAAAGGCATAATATTCCCCCAAAATGAAGACATTTTCCAAGAAGCGGAAATAAATACAAACATTGTGCAACAACTGTATAAAATGTTAAAACATTTGCATTTCAAGGGTTTAAGACTAAAAAAAGAGCTGAAAAATTATGGTCCCAGTCATGATGGAATTATCATGACTGGGACCATCTCTGCCATGTGACTGTTAATTTGACTGGCTTTGCAGCCTGTGTTTTGTCGCTGACTGCAATGCACTGACCATATTAGCTCCCAGTTGGAGCTGGATTCGTCTAAAAGGCTCTGTTTAAATGTACAGCTACCAACAACCTGACTAATGTTGTTGGTTTCAAGTGCTCCAAATGAAATTTAAAACAGATGTTAAAAAAATACATTTGGGGGGGGAGTGGGTGGAACTGGTGTTTGTCAGGAAATATTTACACCATTTAACTGCACTTAAAACCAAAAACTGAAAGTTCTACATTACTGTTTGTGAAAAGGTAAATAAACAAGATGTGGGCTGTTAAGTAAATGTGCCTGACGACCATTTTTAAAAAAGCATTTCTTTTAACAGACACAGCTTTGTCCAAAAACTGCTATGGTAGAACGGTTTATCACATAGGCCCACATATCACTGAAAGCAGAAGACACATTTTTCGGTCACTCTTATAATTTCTTATACATTTACCAGCAACTTTGTTAGGTATATCCAGTTCAACTACTTATTAACACAAATGCGTAATAAGCCAATCAACTCAATGAATTGAGGGACGCTGATATCAAAAGATCTCCCAAGCAACAGATTGGAAAAGGAAGGGGACTTGAGTGATTTTGAATGTGGCATGGTTGTTCTAACCAGACAGAGTTTTTCAGAAACCACTGACCTACTGGGATTTTCCCACACAACTATCCAAGTTATACAGAGAATGATCAAAAAAATAGAAAATATCCAGTAAGAAGCAATTGTCCGGGAGAAAATGCCTTATTGATGCCAGAGGTCAGAGGAGAATACCCAGATGAGTTTATAGGAAAGCAATGGTAACACATTCAAGATATGCAGAAGAGCATCTCACCAAAATTATGCAACAGAGGATAGGAGAGACATTCTCTGGGTTGATGAGTCTCTGTTGCAATAGGGAGTGTCAGAATTTGGGATAAACAACATAAAATGGATCCATTCTGCCTTGTATCAATTTTAATATTTCTGGCAGAGAAATAACAGTTATTAGTTCTAGTATGCAGTTTCTATCATACTTTGCTACTGGTTATGGGGTGGCAACATTTATTATGTGGTGGCCATGGCATAATGTGCATGCATAATGTGTATTAAGTATTTTTGCTTCCTCAATTAATAGTTTTTTTTTTTCTTAAAATGCGCAACCTTTTCTATTAATTCTACTAGGGGGGACTTTGTGGTGCTGTATCAGTACTTTGACTTTTAGAAGTAACAGCAGCCCTGAGTATTTTCAACAGCCAAAATTAGCAACAAGCAGTTAAGTAGTATGTATAGTATCAACTTTGACATAGTAGTGGCACAAAAATAATGCCATAGTACGCCGCTCTCGTCAGAAGTAAATGCAAATAACTCTGCCCAGGCATCATTAAATGTCAGAGGAGAATATTTTTCTTCAGATATTTTTCTTTTCTTACATTTCTCCATACTTGGCCTACCTGGGGTTGAAAGTCTCGATAAATGCACGGTGTTTCAGCGGTTATACCAGCTTCCGCAAGTGTTATTTTGAGCGAGGAAAAATAATAAAATGTCATTTTATTTTTATATTTCAAGATCATGATAATCTTCCAATTTAGAACTACAAGTTAAATAAAAAGAACTAACACAAATAAAATACACTTCAGCTAAATACTTTTACAATTTATTTTCTCAAACCAAGGAGCCGCAGTCTAAAGACTAAAGAGCTGCAGGTTGCCGACCCCTGCTCTAGGCTAACAGCACTGAATAATAAAATAGCTGCTGGCTAATAAAAACTAGGGGAGCTAGAGAGCCGCACCTGAGTTCAGTGTGCCCTGGCTCAGACCTGGGAGCTAAAGCCATCAGTCATGTCTGTCACCACTTAATAACCCTGTTTGTTATCTTTTGTCTCTCCAAGTTTAACCACAGAGTCCAGCTATAATACTGCATGAGAAATGATGGAAAAAGGATATATAAACATGGCACAAGCTTAAAGTCAGCTAAAGTTAAAGCCAATGGATTTTGGCTGTAGTGCTGTGGTGTAAGTGGTGTGTGAGTAAGACTGGGAGGGAATATGAGCATGTGTTAGCAAATGACAGAAAGGACCCCATGATGAGAGACACAAACTGTTAAGCATGTTTTGATGAAATCTAGCAATTATATTATGAAAATGATCAAGGATGGACCTTACAGATTTTTCCTTATAGTCAACAGTGAACGTGGATCACTGGAAAGTCTTTATTTAAGTTTCTGCACCATACTGGACAGTATATAAACATTTAATGTACTCTTTCATTTATGTTTTTTCTTCATTTTAGCTACTTTCTACATTGTAGATATGTACTACAGACATCTAATATATGCGGAAAGATATATGGAATTATGTAGCAAAGAAGAAATTGATAAATAACTCTAAATATAATAATGGATTGCATTTATATACCACTTTTCGAGACCCTCAAAGCACTTTACAATCCACTTCATTCATTCACTCACACACTGGTGGAGGCAGCTACAGTTGTAGCCACAGCTGCCCTGGGGCAGACTGACAGAAGCGAGGCTGCCATATTGCGCCATCGGCCCCTCTGGCCACACACCAGTAGGCGGTAGGTGAAGTGTCTTGCCCAAAGACACAACGACCGAGACTGTCCAAGCCGGGGCTCCAACCGGCAACCTTCCGGTTACAAGACGAACTGCCAACTCTTGAGCCACGATCGCCCCTAAATATGTTTTTTTCCTTAGTTGACAGCACTACAAACCCTCGGCCCTCTTTCAATGAGCTTCATGACATAGTCAGCTGAAACGGTTTTCACTTCACAGGTGTGCCTTGTCAGGGCTCATTTGTGGAATTTTTTGCCTTCTTAATGGGAAGATGGGAACAGTCAGTCCGAAAAGTTGCTAAATTTGAATGTGTCCCCAAGTGCAATTGCAAAAACCATCAAGCACTACAACCAAACTGGCTCACACAAGGACCACCAAACGAAAGGAAGACCAAGAGTCACCTCTGCTGCTGAGAAGTTCATCTCAGTCACCAGCCTCAGAAATCACCAGCATCTGAGATTAGAGCCCAGATAAATGCCACACAGAGTTCCAGCAGCAGTTACATCTCTAAATCAACTATTCAGAGGAGACTGTGCAAAGTAGACCTTCCGTGAAGACCGAGTGTGAATGCATCATGGACGAGAAGGTCTTGGATGATGGAAGCTCTTGTCCTAGGCTAGTATCTCAGAGTGCTCTATTAAAGCAGGGGTCGGCAACCCGGCACGCGAAGGGTTAACTGATGGCACGGCCATAGCTGGACTGGCCATCGGCATACCGGGCTTTGCCCGGTGGGCCGATGGTTTTATTTATTTTTTTGTAACGTATAAACAATGAAAGGTGTGGATTGGCCAGATGTGGCCGGTGTGTAAAAATAACTCAGTTGTTTGGTGGTGGCTATGGCGAGCTTCCACAGATTCAGTAACATTAGCAAGTGGTGGAGGCCAGCAGGTGGATGAGAGAAAGGGGAGGCAAGAGGAGAGACTCGAGGCAGCCGCCGGTCCGAGTGTCAGGTGAACTGAACTTCAGGTAAGAAGTTATGACCTGCAGTCTATCTGGGTCAGATATAAACCAAGTTTAGGTGGAGTTTATGGCTTTAATACCTGGTGGGCCGGTCTCTAGTCAAAATGCCCGGTAATGCCAGTTAATGCAACATCAAAGCAGCTGGAATCCATATATGTGCGTGTTCATGGAGCTTGCATTTTCACCAGCTGGAAATCACTACCTGACAAGTTTAACTGTCCAAATACTGTAGAGGCCTTATTGACAGTATTTGGTTCTACATATCTGTGTGAGCAGATTTTCTCTCACATGAAGAGGTCCTCAGGTCTGAATGCTGGACTCGGAGTCCTGTGTCTCTGAGTGGGAGACCAGAGATCACATTAACATGTGTATCCCTCTTTTAACAAACATGCCATATTGGCCCAGTTTAGTTTTCTTATCATTGTTGTGAGGAGACCATAAATAGCATTTGCATTTTCTATTGTACAGTTCATTTGCTTTATGGAGTTCTTGTTATGGATAAAAAAGTGTCTTTTTTTTTTGTTTCAAAATAGCTGATAACGATGTGGGTCAAGGAGTATTTCAGTAATTCATTTTCTTAGACTAGATCTAGCAAACTTATCTACTTCACACAAGAGAAACATAACCCAGCCAAAGGAAACAGCAGAAGTAGTCTATTATAATGGGTGTAGATAGGTCATATCAGTTTGTCCAGTTAAGATATACAAAGCTTCTGGTTTTGTGTTATGTGCCAAGACCAGAGCATTTAGCATCAGTTGATGATCAGACAAGACTATCTGTCATAACTGTACAGGTAAACCTTTTACAGACCTGGTAGACCTTCTCCTGTTTGTCTATTGTAAGTTTCCTCAGGTTTCTACAGGTTTTTCACCTTTTGTGTTTCTGTTTGCCCATCAGGTCAGAGGTTTACTAGAGGGAGACTTGGGAGGAAATGGATCAGGTTAAGGACAGAAATATAATCTCTTACGTCCTTAAAATGAGAAACTCAAAATAAATAAATAAAAATTGTATACTTTCTTGATCCCTGTGGGGAAATTCCTCTCTGCATTTAACCCATTCACTCAGTAAAGCAGTGAGAAGCCACCGAATCTAGCGCCTGAGGAGCAGCGTGTAGGTACTTT